TTCCTACAAGCCATTGTCAAGAGATTCAGGTGAATACACTATATTTCAATGTGGCTTATTTTATTCACACAGCTGATAAATATTTTGTGAAACAAATTTGTAATTAATGGATTATTGGACAGGTTGCAATATTGAGAAATTGTTCTTAATATTTCATAACACTAATATGATATTTCTGAACTATATTTTTCAGCAAAGGATCAGTCAAGACTGAAGTTGATCTGCTTTTCAACAGTACAAATGTTGTGCCATCAAATAATGAAATTGGCAATGCAATATTGAACAACGTACAATTTCTAAATGACCTAAACGCAACTGCTAATTCAGTTGACATTAATGGAACACGTAAGTCTTTTATTTCAATGTGATCAAAATTACATGTCTTACAGGGAAACCAGTATGAAGGAAAAAACAGACAAATAAAACCTTGTTTCACAGTAATGATTATTTGAAATGAGTATTTGAGAAAATCATTCTTTACATTTTTGGTCAAAAACAGCATAAACTCAAAACAAGTCAATATTTTTTTTTCTCTATTAGAAATATCATCCATTACTGAACCAACAACTGAATATTCAACACCCACAACAACACCTGCTCAAACATCCACCACTACTGCAGCAGAAACATCTACAACAACAGAGTCCTCCACAACAGAATCCTCCACTGCTCCTCCTGTGGAAACGTCTACTACAACCATAGTAGTAACATCTACTATAGAAACAGACTCCTCCACAACAACTCCTGTTGAAACATCCACCACTACTGAATCAATAACATCTACTATGACAACAGAGTCTTCCACAGCAACTCTTGAAGAAACAGTCACAACTGAATACTCAACACTCACAACACCTGCTCAGACATCCACCTCTACTGTAGCAGAAACATCTACAACAACAGAGCCCACAACAACTCCTGTGGAAACGTCTACTACTACCATAGCAGTAACATCTACTACAGCAACAGAGTCCTCCACAACTACTCCTGCTGATACATCCACCACTACTTCAGCTGTAACATCTACTACACCAACAGAGTCCTCTACAACAACTCTGGAAGAAACATCAACAACTGAATACTCAACACTCACAACAATGCCTGCTCAAACATCCACTACTACTGCAGCAGAACCATCTACAACAACAGAGCCCTCCACAACAACTACTGTAGAAATGTCTACTACTAACCTAGCAGTAACATCTACTACGCAAACAGAGTCCTCCACGACAACTCTTGAAGATACAGCTACTACTACAACAGAATTAACATCTACTACTATAACAGAGCCCTCAACAACCACTCCTGCTGAAATATCCACTGCTACTGTTGCAGAAACATCTACAACAACAACAACAACAGAATCCTACACAACAACTGCTGCTGAAACATCCACCAGTACTTCAGCTGTAATGTCTACTACAACCACAGAGCCCTCAACAACTGTTGTTGAAACATCTACCACTACTGCAGCAGAAACATCTACTACAACCAGAGAGTCAGCCACAACAACTATTGAAGAAACATTCACAACAACAGAGCCCTCCACAACAACTCCTGTGGAAACGTCCACTACTACCATAGCAGTAACATCTACTACACCAACAGAGTCCTCCACAACTACTCCTGAAGAAACGTCTTCCACTACCATAGAAGTAACATCTACTACACTAACAGAGTCCTCCACAACAACTCTTGGAGAAACATCCACTACTACAGTAGAATTAACATCTACTACTATAACAGAGCTCTCAACAACAACTCCTGCTGCAACATCCACAACTTCAGTTGTAACATCTACAATGCCAGAGTCCTCCAAAACAACTCTTGAAGAAACATCCACTACTACAGTAGAGTTAACATCTACAACAACAGAGCCCTCCACAACAACTCCTGTGGAAACGTCTACTACTACAATAGCAGTCACATCTACTACAGCAGCAGAATCCTCCACAACAACTCTTGAAGAAACGTCTACTACTACAATAGAAGTAACATCTACTACTATAACAGAGCCCTCAACAACAACCCCTTCTGAAATATCCACCACTACTGAAGCAGAAACATCTACAACAACAGAGCCTTATTCAACAACTTCTGAAGAAACGTCTTCTACTACCATAGCAGTCACATCTACTACGGCAGCAGAATCCTCCACAACAACTCTTGAAGAAACATCTACAATTGAACACTCAACACCCACAACAACTCCTGCTGAAATATCCACCACTAATGCAGCAGAAGTATCTACAACAACAACAGAACCCTCCACAACAACTCCTTTGGAAAAGTCTACTACTACCATAGAAGTAACATCTACTACAGCAGCAAAATCCTCTACAACAGCTCTTGAAGAAACATCCACCACTACTGAAGCAGAAACATCTACAACAGCAGAGCCCTCTACAACAACTCCTGAAGAAACGTCTTCTACTACCATAGAGGTAACATCTACTACACCAACAGAGTCCTCCACAACAACTCTTGAAGAAACATCCACTACTACAGTAGAATTAACAACTACAACAACAGAGCCCTCCACAACAACTCCTGTGGAAACGTCTACTACTACCATAGCAGTCACATCTACTACAGCAGCAGAATCATCCATGACAACTCTTGAAGAAACATCCACAACTGAACAATCGACACTCACAACTCCTGCTGAAATATCCACCACTAATGCAGCAGAAACATCTACAACAACAGAGCCTTCTACAACAACTCCTGAAGAAACGTCTACTACGACAATAGAAGTAACATCTACTACTATAACAGAGCCCTCAACAACAACTCCTGCTGCAACATCCACCAATTCACTTGTAACATCTACTACGCTAGAGTCCTCCACAACAACTCTTGAAGAAACATCCACAACTGAACAATCAACACTCACAACTCCTGCTGAAATATCCACCACTATTGAAGCAGAAACATCTACAACAACAGAGCCTTCTACAACAACTCCTGAAGAAACGTCTTCTAGTACCATAGAAGTAATATCTACTACACCAACAGAACCCTTAACAACCACTTCTGCTGAAACATCCACCACTTCAGTTGTAACATCTACTACATCAGAGTCCTCCACAACCTCTCTTGAAGAAACATCCACTACTACAGTAGAGTTAACATCTACAACAACAGAGCCCTCAACAACAACTCTTGAAGAAACATCCACAACTGAACAATCAACACTCACAACAACTCCTGCTGAAATATCCACCACTACTGAAGCAGAAACATCTACAACAACAGAGCCCTCTACAACAACTCCAGTGGAAAAGTCTACTACTACC